ATTTTCAGTAAGTGTTATAAATCAGGAACCGTGTGCATTTTCTCACAAATCCATCCTTATTATCTGACTCCAATCCAGAGTGACAAGGAGCTGTTCAACCCACTGCCCTCCTTGGAGAGTCTAGGCACTTACATTATCTGCCTGAGTCATTTTCCCTTCAGTCTATTGCCAAGTAGTGTCAGTCTTAGCTCTGTAGTATCGTTCCCATCTGTCTCCTCCTGTCCTTTCCCGCTACCTCCACTCCTAATGCGGGCCACTCCTGCTTTCTGACTTTGTTCTTGCAACAACTTCCTGCCTAAGGATTCTGCTATTCGGCAACCCTCGCCATCCATCTTTCCTCTTGGCATCAGTCAAGTCTTCCAAGTTTACAGCCTCGGTCAAATTTTAGCATTCTGAGGACCCTGGACCTTCAGTGGCATTCCATCAGGAGCAGAGAAGGCCCTTCTCCTCAGACTGCATGCAGGACCAGCCCCAAAGTTCAGTCTATTTTCATCCAGTGGTCACAGACCCTGTCTTCTCTCCGGGGCTGTCTTACACCACGGCCTAATGTGTGGTCAGCCCAAAGTGGCCTATTTCCTCAAGCAGGTGGGGGCTTGCCCGTGGCAGCCCTGTCTTTCTGCTCTCTCCTCTTCTCATCACCTTGGCTTGCTGGGCTCCTACCTGGCTTTTGAGGTTTCAATGACTTGAAATCTAATGACCCTCGTCCCTGAGGCCTTCCACCAGCGGGGTGCCATGATCACTCCTTCCACCAAATGCTCAGAGTACCTTGGGGTACCTCTTGCCTGTCCTTTTCACGGTCTGCCTTCCATCACACTTATATCTGTGTATTTGCACAGGGTTAGCGATGTGTCCAGAATCACCCACCTGCTGAACTGTGGAGCTAGGATTTAAATCTCAGCTTGGCCTGCCACAGAGACTGCACTCTGAACAGATATCCAATGGCTTGCTTCCTATTGATTTTTGGACCTCTCCATCTCTACCCTCCCCATCCCCCATGCCCACCTGGCACTTTGCCATTGGGTATAATAGGTTCCCAGTAAATATTTCTAGAATGTGCAGCACTTGTGCCTTCTAGGGAAGAAGTTATCTTTTTAAAGGGACTATCCAGTTAACTCTTGGTTTAAGAGATAAACAAAGCACAAAAAGATGCAATAGTTCTCAACTTCCGTGTTCTGAATTTTTTGTACCTTCGTAATCCCACTAAACGTAAACACTGATTTGGAATCACTGTGGTCAAATGTCCTTTCTCAGTTCTCACCATTTCCATGGACCTTTTTCTGGTCTTTTCCTCCTCAAGTTCATAGTAATTACATCTGTGCCACTAATTTTGAACTTAATTATATACTATTTTGTGTGATTTCTAATTTATGCATTTCCATAATGTCTGTGCCCCAGTGGTAGATGTTCTGTCCATTTGGAAGAATGAAAAAAAAAAATGGAAGAATGAAAATCTCTTTTTGGTATATCATAAACAAGTTTTTAAAAAGACACTATTTGAAGCACTTGGAATTATTTTTCTTAGTTTCAGTACTGCACATCTAGCTATTTGATAAGCTAGCATTTTAGTCTTAACTTATCTGTAGATCTTTCATTTATTATCACTATTATCAGATGCACATCAGTTCAAAAATTGTTTAGGTTACAAAACAACTGGGCATTGCTGTGTTTTGTGGGTTTTTTTCTTTTTTTTGAGGAAGACTGGTCCTGAGCTAACATCCGTGCCCATCTTCCTCTACTTTATATGTGGGACGCCTGCCACAGCATGGCTTGACAAGCAGTGAATAGATCCGCACCCGGGATCCAAAGCCACGAACCCCAGGCTGCCGAAGTGGAACATGCGCACTTAACTGCTGCATCACCGGGCCAGACCCTGGGCGTTGCTGTGTTTTTAAAAAGTCTCTTAGAGGGAAAGCAATCATGTTTTAGGCCATAATTTAGAAAGAACAGTTTTTGCATCTGTGGCATTCGCTAGAAGCAAGCAGCTTAAGTGAAATCAAGTATTGAGAGATTTGGGAAAAGAACCAGGCTAAGAGAGAATTTAATAAAGATTTTATTTTTCAGATGCAGCGTCCTTTTGACTCCTTCCTGTCATTAAATTCTGGGTGTGTTTCGTTGAAAATAAACTTTGAGTGGCTTTTTGATTTCCCCAAAATGCTAAATTATGTAAAAGATCCTTCTAATTTGAGTTTTAAAAAAGAGGTAGGGAGAGGGAGAGTAGTTCTCTAGAAATTAGATTTTTAAAATCCAACTCTATTCAAAGAATTTCAATACCTTTGCCAAGTGGGACACTTGTTAGGGACAAAAGGTAGAAATTCTGTTGACAAATATTCCTTTAGCAAGCAAGAAAGAAGTCTCTTCACTCTCCCAGGGTGATCAGTTGAGAACATCTGAATGAACAATTAGAATGAAGGGCCTACTGTTGACCTCTCCTTCTTTCTTTGTCTCTTCCCTCTGCAGGTTACCTATCTGGGTAAAGTTCCCACCACAGGCATGCAGTTTTTGTCAGGCTGCACAGAAAAGCCAGTCATTGAGCTCTGGAAGAAGCACACACTAGCCCGAGAAGATGTCTTCCCAGCCAATGCTCTCCTGGAGATCCGACCATTCCAAGTGTGGCTCCATCACCTTGACCACAAAGGTGAGGCCACGGTGCACATGGATACCTTCCAGGTGGCCCGCATCGCTTACTGCACAGCCGACCACAACGTGAGCCCCAACATCTTCGCCTGGGTTTACAGGGAGATCAATGATGACCTGTCCTACCAAATGGACTGCCACGCTGTCGAATGCGAGAGCAAGCTCGAGGCCAAGAAGTTGGCCCATGCCATGATGGAGGCCTTCAGGAAGACTTTCCACAGTATGAAGAGTGATGGCCGGATCCACAGGAACAGCTCCTCCGAAGAGGTTTCCCAGGAATTGGAATCCGACGATGGCTGACTGAACTTAGGATGCTTCAGCAAAGGCAGCATTGGTCAAGGAATTCCAGATGATAGATGAATAAGCAACGATTCAAATTTGGGATGAAAAGACTGCCAAACTATTGGCCGACCAAGCTTTTTAAATTCAGAAGAGCAATTCTAAATCTAAAGAAATGTATTATTAAAGTAATTACATTACATTGAAATCTGCTGCTGCTGTGACTGTGAGGAGGGGGGGGAATGTGGATGGGGAGGAAGGTTCTAGATTCTCTCTCTTCTTTTTTTCTTTTTCTCATTTCCCAATGCCTCCCATAGGAGATCTCCAGGTTGATGTTCACCTCTCAGGCAAATACACTGCGGCTGTTATTTGATGGACCATTCCGATTTGCCTTATGAAACCCAACAAGAATGTTAGATGCACCTGTAGGATCCCTAGTCGTGGGGGTAGGTGGAGAGTGCTGATGCCGGCACGGAGGCCTCAGGGCTAAAGGAACACCTCAGGCTGACCTTGAGAGCTCTTCTCCCACGGCATGGTTCAGATTGTCTCCTCAGTAAGCAAATCAGCACAGCCTTTATCAAGCTTTACAACTAACCACCTGAAAGTTGGCAGTTAATTCACAGTTTAAGATAATGCTTTTATTCACATGAATATATCAAGTAGTACTCTCTTATTGTATTCACGTCATCTATTTTCTTAGAATACTTGCAACTACTAAAAACCCCTTCCCTCCTCCACTGCATCCACCCTCTTTCCCCTTCCAAGCCATGCTGACATCCCTATGGGGATGGATTCTCAGTGTACACTGCAGGACACCAAAAGGGAAGAAAATGACCAAGCAGATGAAATACACTATCAAAGAAGGTAGGACTTTCAAACAACCACCACCACAACAGAAACCTTGGAAAAAGGGAATGAGTTATCAGCAAGTGAACAAACCCCGTGGAGGCTGTCCTTTCATCACCCCTGATTTACGGTAACTTTTGTAGTAGATGGTCCTATCCGATGAACCTTTCCTGGCAAGCTTCAGATATGATTTGCTATCACCAAGGAAGCCTTGCCCCCGTCACTCAACATTGCACTCAAATAGGGAATGGGTTATATAAACTTGGCTCATCTACAGAAACTGTGTCTATCTTAATCTAAAGGGTAAATCTGACCTTGTTAACCTGAAATTGTGATCTCTTAGGGTCAGAATTGCCAGTTTGTTCACTGTTTCTAATGAGAAGTTCTCGCTAAGAGAGCCTGAGATTTCTCAGTTTCACGGATCTTTAAATATCATCAACGCAAAGAGTCAACATTGAATGAAATTGCAAGTATTGGTTAAAATACATTTAAGGCCGAGAGCATATCACTAGTTTTCCAGGTAATGCTGCTCCTTCTTTGAAGTCTGCTTTTAATCCTGGTCGTGTTAGGGCCGCTGGGGCACCTTACAGAAGCCTTACATGAGAGCTAATTGAATCAGGAGAGCAGTGGTGTTGGCGTTTTGGTCTGTGCATCTATGTGTCGGTGTATGCGTTTGTATGTGTGTACGTGTGCCCCCTGTGTGTGGGTCCAGTTTTAAGGCATGTAGAATAAGCATGGAGTCATACTGAGGAGAATTAGCCTCTTGGAGATATGCTTGCTGCTTTACCACACATGTAAACTATTCTTTAGCGTAAATGCATTCATTCTTTAATAAAAAATATGTTTGCATTAATAAAGCCGAAGAGTTTCATACTTTATGTCTTTACTTTTTTAAATAATGGAAAACTGAAGGACAAAATACAGCAAATTGAGTCAATAGGGAATCCTATCGAAAAATTTGTTAAAACCGTATCATAAAGAACCCATTCCTTGGTTGTGTTTTAAAAATCTTGTTTTATTTTCTAATGCTTAAGTTATATGTATATATATATATTTTTTTTTCTTCGAGGAAGATTAGCCCTGAGCTAACATCCGCCGCCACTCCTCCTCTTTTTACTGAGGAAGACTGGCCCTGAGCTCACATCCGTGCCCATCTTCCTCTACTTTATTTGTGGGATGCCTGCCCCAGCATGGCTTGACAAGTGGTGCATAGATCCGCGCCTGGGATCTGAACCGGCGAACCCCCGGCCACCAAAGCAGAGCGTGCAAACTTAACCACTACACCACTGGTCCAGCCCTTAATGCTTAATTTGTATTTAATTACTGCTCCTTAACTGAGATGCTAGCATGTCAACAGTTGAAATAGTTATTTAGTGTGGTGGACGTATTTCAAGGGAGAGTCTTCTGGAACATTTTGCAAAGGATTGCTATTTATAAAATCTCACATAAGTCTTGGGAGAATCTGCACTGAAATCTTGGAAGGTAAACACCGAATGATTCCTTCTGACAGGACTGGTTAAAAATGCCTCCTCCAGGCCGTGATTTCTCAGAACAGCCCCATTAATCAGGCAAGGCAGGTGGCCATGGGGCCTGCGTGTCTCGAGCAATGCCCTTCATGGGATCAGTAACAAGCAGAAAGGCTTCTGAAGAGAAAATATGGTTCCTGCTAAAGAGAGGAACACAGGGAAGAATTGCTGCCTAACTCCTTTGATGAAAATGGCATTTTCTCTAGTCAAACTTTTCTCAATTTCGGTTTCACTCCGTTGTCCTTGAATATGCTTCCAAGAGGGGGGCAAAAAAAGAAAGAACCCAGCCAGCATATATTTCAAAACAATGCCGTTTTCCTCTCTCAGTAAAAGTTGAATCCCAAGTGCACACTTTTATTGCAGAAAGCATTTGCTGGTGCTTTTTCAGAGTACTCAGTGTGACATGCTAAGTCATTGGCTCTGAGAATATTGGCGAGAACTTTGTCTTGAGATGATTAGTAAGCAAGTTAAAGATAAATCCACAACGACATCTTTCACATAGCTAATGAAGTCTTTTGGGACAGCCAATACTAATTCCCCTCAGAGGGATGATTCAGACTTGCGTTATTTTTTTTAATGCTTTGTTCTCGCTCTTTCTATACTACACATTCTATGCTGGTGGTCACAAAGCACTTTTGTGTATATTAACTCATATGCCCCTCAGAAGGATCCTGTAGGTGGGTGTGGCAGTTACTATAGAGATGAGGAAACTGAGGCTCAGAGAGGTTACCCAACTTGGCGTAGGCAGCACAGCCAGGATGCGTTTGCTGGAGACTAGAACCATCTGACTTCCGGTCCAGGGCTGTTGCTTTGTGTAGGCAAGATTCACCTCTTTGAGATTTTTTATTTCCATTCTTCTTAAAACCCTCTAGCTTATTTTAAATGAGCATACTAAACCACTATAAATAAACATCCTTTGCTATTCATTTTTGATAGCAATAGAAGGAGTTTTAAAAGCAAACAAAGGCCAAAGAAAGATTATTTGAGCACAAATAACATAATAGGAGATTTTGCTTAAGTATTTGACTCTGTTCAAAGGACAAAATACTCTGTATACCCTTACAGAACCAAGATTTTTTTTTTCCCCTTCAGGACATGTGAAAACTCTGAATCAGATCTTTCTATTCCAGGCTTCTATAGCATCCTGTAATTTCCTGTAATTGCCATTCATTGCAGTTTTCAATTATATATTTATTTGTATAATTATGTAAATATCTGTTTAGGGGGTGTAAGTGTCTTTAGGATGGAGATTGTATCCCTTTTATTCAGATTTTATTCCCAGCTTATCACAAGGCACCTGGGGGAACTCAGTAAGTTTCTGTTAGCAGGATGGATGGAGGGATAGACAGATAGAAGGAAAAATCACTATGTGAGTCTTTGATTTGCAAGTTCTAGCACAGGATCCTGGAACCCTGGAGGGAACTCTAGAGACTCTCTTGCCCACTTTTGTTAAAGGTGAACAAATGGCTTTTTAATCAAGAAAAACATTGTCTCTTACCTAATTCCAGAAAGAAGAAAAATAGAAGAATAATGTTCGATGTAAGCTGTGTGATGGAAATAGAACCAACATTATTCCAAGAAAATAGGCAGATAATGTATTTCAAGGTATCTGCATTTAATAGATTACAGAATTCTTGTCATGCATTTGTTTCTCTTTATTTCTATCACTGAATAAGAAGAGAGAAAGAGAGAGTGATGGGGAGGGCATTTTTATTTTCTGACAGTATGAAGCTTGTAAATTATACTGGTTTTTCCCCAAGTTTATATTTCAGAAAACATTTTTTTCCTTTGTCCTCTCTTTTGCTTTTTTCTCCTTTTCCTTCCCTCCTCTTCTTCCCCCTTTCCTCCTTCAACTATTTAATTATTTCCATGACAGCATTCCAGACTTTCTCTGATTTTAGTGGGAAGAGCATATATGCTCTGAATCTGAGATCACATAATCCATTGCCATGAAATTTGACAAGACTTTTGAACACTGCTGATTGTCCTAAATTGCTCTCATTTATTATTATCATTTTTTAGTCAGATGGGACATGATGACTCTTTAATTTAATTCTTCATAGCTTACTATTTCTTAAGCATTCCAAAAATGTGTGTTATCATCTTATCTCCTGATATACCCTAGACTAAACTGGAGTGAAGGTGAAAATTTCCATAATTGTCTAATTCTTATTGACCCTCAAGAAACTTTCCTGTTAGATGCCAAAATTCAGCTTTTGGAGTAACTTTATGGGATCCATGGTTCAACTTAAGAACCTTGGCCGCTCCTTCTGAAAGAGGTGCCAGCTGATAATCACCAGAAAAGAACTATGTATGATGCATAAACCCAAGCTCTGAAAGAAAAATAACTGGATAAGTAAAAGGGAATTGCTAAGAGGAAGAAAAATCTAAACCATCTAATTTTGAACATTTACAAATATGCTGTATTTGTTGAAAATGAACCTAAGAAGTGGTCTTTTATGCTTAAGCAAAGCTGACGTTCACAGATTTGGAGAAAATATTTCTTTTGGAATGTCCTGGTAAAATTATCTTGGGTTTGGTTGTGCACCCGAAATCGATCATTCAAAAATAATCTGAATAGTTTTTATTTGAGAATTTATGGCTTTTACTTAAAAACATTTTCAAGTTCCTATTAAGTTTTCAATAGGTTGGCTTAGAGGACACTGTAAGAAGGTACTGATGTGATCTGAAGATGGGATTGCTGAAGTATTGCACATATTTTCAATCCTTGCATAATAAATTACCAATAATTATCTATATTTTCATGTCTATATCTTCATTTAACAATGATTTTCTTAATAAAAATGTTTTCATCCCCTTACCTAAAACTACATGTTAGACTGAGGCTGGGTCATTTGAAAACATTATAAAATTTGTGAATAAAATAATACATGGGACCTGCTTGATTTCAAACCTGTCATTATGTGGCCTTGTGGCCTTGGTTACCATTCTAGAATGTTCTTTGTCTTTTGGGGGCAAAGCTTAAGAGAAACATTTAAGGAAACACCCACTTGGAAGGAAGAACCAAGAGTTGACTCCATTCCAAGGTCACTTTTTAATGTAAATTTAGGATCAACCAAGACCATGGTTCATTATAGGTCTGAACACAGTGGTTCTGATTCCAATTTTGCACAGCAAACAAAATCCAGTAGTAAATTTCATTATGTTCATAATTGGATTATCTTCATGTAGATGCTATTACGGATATAAAAACATTTTAATTGGTGGCTTAAAATGGAATTAGACTTTTAATTCAGCCTTTTGCCAAATTATCTTATTGCCTTTCTCTATTTTAATTGTAACAGCTTTTCTCAGAATTTAGTATTGCACTTTTGGAAATTAGTACAGTAAAACCTCATTAATTTAGATAAAACTAATTAGGAGTTTGTGGGTTTGGCCTTGAAAAGCTCAAGTTTTATGCTTATTTTTAATAAGCAAATAAATAGGATGAATAATCTTGTTATTGAAAGTGTTTACCTACTTAGGAAACGCTGCTTCCGCGTATTAAAATAACAGTTACCAGACATAATGTAATTTCAGCAGAAGCAGAAGCTGGTACAACTGAAATTGAGGCTTTGATGTGCTGGTTTCTAGCCATTCGTCCTTATTTATTAAAATCGGTTCTCCACTAAGCAACAGATGGTTAATGCAATTCTAGAATTCAGAGCCCTTGAAAGAAATAAAATTCCTTTTCTTTCAAAATACTCACCATTTACATACATCTTTACTTTCCATTAGTATAAATGTTTGCTGTTACTAACCATAAGCCCCCCCTCAAAAAAAAAAACCTAAAGTAATTAACTTTTCCTGATTCTCACAGAAACATTGTTATCAAAATAATTGAAATTGAAATTATTTTCTGATCTTCAAGCTTTAGTAATTTTCTCTTTGCTACAATTTTCTTTTTTTAATTTTCAAGACTAAATTATTGTGGATCACCTTAAGAAGCTCAGTAACTCATCGAGGTCATATAATAAGTCAATTGTGATGAATTATGTTTAGTGGTCTGGTTGATATTTAAAGTTGAACATTTTACAATTGTTCAGATCTGTGAATGTGTTTGTGATTTGCAGTGATCCACTACCAAGTAATCTGGTCACCATGTTAGCTCCATCCGAATGGTGTGTGAGATGCTGAGGGTGACTGGACACAGAGTGGAGTCCTGCCCAGGAGCACGTGATAGACGGGACCAGGCAGGCAGCATTGCAAACCAGCCTCTGCTCCTCTAGCAGAGCGTGTGGCTTGGCATGGGGGAGTGGTGTCAGTCCAGAGGAAGAGGCACCTCTTAGCAATCCATCAGCCAAGAGAGATGCCTTTGTGTAATTATCTTCCCAGAAGGTAGATAATTTTTCTATCTATCTGGGTAGAAACTTTCTCTACAATTCACCTTAAAATAGCAGCCATGAGTTTTACCCATATGTTGGCTTCTAATGTATTTTTTCAGACCCATGAAATATCAAACGCTGGACACTTTTCAAAACAAAACATTTTACAAAACAAAAGACGGCTCATGAGGACCACCAGTGACCTCGGAGGGGTCATCAGTAGCTCTTAAGATCACATTTTGGAGAAAAGTCGTCAGATCTAAAGTTACCTAACTTTTAGACTCAGAATTGAAACAATTGTGAGCTTTGGGTCATCATATTCTAAGTGATATTGTATGAAAAGTCGTATATTAAAGAATCAAAATCATTGTTTCCTTATGGCCATTTCTTCTCTGTTACTCTTGAAGGAACGGTGTGAGGCATCCCACACATTAGGCAGCCTCAGAAAAATGGAAGAAAAATTAGTTCTGGTTTACCCCAGGGATGCTAGAAAGCCCTGGAACATGAAGGTCAAACCTGGCACATTCTCATTCCCTGAGATGGACCTCCAAGATATCTTTCTTCTTCTATCTCCACCCTACCATTGACACAAGCCTTCCCCATGCCTGGAGTGTCATGGCAGGCGTGGGCTGACGTCAAAGAAGAGCAGCTCCCAAAGAAAGGAGGAAAGAGCCGTGTGTCACCCACAATTTGCTTCAGTCAGACAGCTCTGTGCCCTCAGATCACTTCTACAAAATGCCTCCTGAGAGCCCTACATCCCTCAAAGGCCATAGGAACAGAAAGTTCTCTGGGTTACTCTTCTGTTTCCAGGCAAGGAAAGAATACTTTCTTATCTGAACACAGAATCTCCAGCCCCACCACTCTTCAAGGTCAGAGCTCCTATTGTTCTGAAACTCAAATTTTATCATGCCTGACTTTTGCTTCAAATCTTTTCATGACCTCCTCGTTGTCTAGAGGAGAAACTAATTAATGTCCTCTTCCCTTAGTTTTATATGCTAGTATGATAAACAAGCTTCTTCGCAAGCTGGCTCTCACCTACTATTCCAGGCTCAAGTTTAAATTCTTATTCAGTGTTGCCCCTGGCAAAGAACTTAACATCTTGGGCCTCAGTTTCCTTATCAGTAAAATGAGAATAATAGATGCCTAACTCACAGAGCTGCAATGAGAGTTAAACGAGTAAATATCTGTGAAGCACTTAGCCCAGGTCTGGCCTTGCAAGTGTTCAGTTAATGCTGCTGTTTTGAGGGTTTCGTTTTCACCTCTCACTCCTCCACAGGGACCTGTTGGATAACCCAAACAGTTCTTTGCAATTCCCCAAAAGGGCCAGACTCTGGGCCTTGGCACGCCCTGCTCCTATGTCACATAATACTCCCCTCTTTGCTGATTCAGCTCCTTCTTCCAGGCCCTACAGACTTGTGAAGACAGCTCCATCACTGTCTTGACATGAAGCTAGGATTTGCTTTTAAGGCTTCCTCACCCCTGACCTGAGAGCTTCCAGAGCAATACTGTCCTACAGATCTATATCGCCAGCCATGTGGGTAATTTAAAATTTTCTAGCAGCCAAATTAAAAAATTTAAAAGAAACAGGGAAATTAATTTTCATAATACACTTTAGCCCCCAAACCTAAAATATTGTCATTTCAACACATAATCAGTGTATAATGTGTTAATGAGATATTTCACCTCCTTGTATACAGTCTTTGATATTTGGTATATATTTTACACTCTGCAATACGTAAGTGCTCCATAGCCAGATCTGAGCAGTGCTACTGCAAGAGACTGCACAGTCCAAGAGTGAGAACCGTGGATGGGTCCCCTCTGTATCCACAGAGCCCATCTCAGTGACTGAGATATAAAGGGACTCATAAATGCTTATTTAATGAAGAAAATGGTGAACACAGACAACTCCTTCTGGGATGTATCAGTTTGCTAGGGCTGCTATAACAAACCACTGCAAACTGGGTGATTTAAACAACTGTGGCCTCACAGTTCTGGAAGCTAGGAGGCTGAGATCAAGGCGTTCGCAGGGTTGGTTCCTTCTGAGGCTGTGAGTGAACATCTATTCAACGCCCTCTGGTGGTTTTCTGGCCATCTTTGGTGTTCCTTGGCTTCTATGCCATCATCTTGCTCTCTGTCTTCATGTTCACATGGCCTTCTCTCTCTGTGTGTGCATGTCTATCTGTCTCCAAATTTCTCCCTTTTATAAGCACACCAGTCATATTGGATTAGGACCTCATCTTCACTAATTACATGTGCAATGCCCCTATTTCCAAATAAGGTCACATTCTGAGATACTGGATGCTGGGGATTAGGACTTCAACATATGAATTTGAGTGGTTGGTTGGCGGACACAATTCTTCCCATAATGATACAGCAGGTAGTAAGATTGCGCTCATGGCTTGGAGGGGCAGAACAGGGCTTCATTTCAGATTGTTCAACTCCAAATTCAACACTTGCCCTGCTCCTGCCCCTGTGGGAAGCCCTCTTTGTCTGGGCTTAGTTTCTCTTGACCAACCAGGGTTGTGGTTGGGTTATCAAGGACAAAACAGACAGTTCTTTGAAGTATATTTTCATTTAAATTTTTTTAATTTCCTTGCAAAATAAAATTAACATGGTTCTTAAGTACACACACCTTTTAAGGAAATGAAATTCCCCTGAATTTGCCTTCTCCCATCTTCCATTTCTCTATCACTACTGTTTCCTTTTATTGTGTTGGTGTCTGGTAATCTCTGGTTTTGGTTGTTTTCTGAGGGAAATGAGATTATAAGGGAAAAGCAGTTTGAGAACTAAAAAATAAGGAGGTTTGAAGAAGGCAGCATGGCCCTTTCTGTGTGTGACAACATTAGCCAACTCTTAGGACCAAGTTTTCCAAGCTGGGCCAACCCTGGTCTAAGCCAATGGCCACAACTCCCCTCATGGAGTCCCTTGTGCTTTTCCTTGGGAACTGGTGTTTTTCACGCTTCTCAGTGTGATTCAACTAAAATCTCCACATCATAAGGAGAAGAAGCCTTTGAAGGCCAGAATTTGGGATTTGCCAATAACCCAGGGATTGTGGTGCATTTCTGCATCTGCAGCTCCAGATCCTGTGGTTGCATCTTACTTGGTCTTGTAAGCATGTGCTCTGTGCCACACTGAAGAATCAGATTCCTCTGCCTCCTTCTGGAAGAACATCTTTCCCCAGCACTTAAAACGTAGCTTCAATGCCACTCTGTTAAGATAAGCTCGTACCAGTATGCGACTGGCCAGCAACCAAAGAACTTCTGTGCAGCTGGGAGAATTTATTACTAAAACTTATTTTCCAGGCTGATTATTCGATTCTTTCTTTTAAAGGTCAGACTTTGTTATATTATGATTAAAGATTCCTTTTTATAAATTGCCTTTTTCTCCGCAGTGGGCTACCATCAGAAGGCTTGGAAAACGTTTTCATTCTTCTTTTCTCTGAAAAATTAATGAGGCTTGCAATCCCTTTCAACTTAATAGTTTTGGTAGTGCAAAAGTTTCTCTTTGTTTTTAGGCAAATCCAACTGACACTATTATATAGCTAGTCTCTATTGGTGGCTGTCTTAGGAGATATTTAAGCATTAGGACATGGGATTTGAAGCACTATGTTCTAGGCTTTCTTTTTTAGGCTTAGAATATTCTAGAAAAGGAACTCAGGAAACATATTTGCAAGTTCTTCCTGAATGTTCCTGGACAGACAGGTGCAAGATGGTGATTAACAAGTGATTTAATTCATGTTCAACTTTTGTCCTTTGTCCTTTGGTTGCTGCATGGACTCCACCAAGGGAAGGAGGTGAGGGTGGAAGTTAAAGAGAGAAGAGGATTTTGAATGAACCAAAGTAATAAGAGCTAATAATTTTGAGCATATACAAGGTGCAAGACACTTTAAATACATCATCTCATTTAATCCTCACAGAATCCTAAGTGGTCAGAATTATTATTCCCACATTACAGATGAAGAGTTGATTTTGAAAAAGTTTAAGAAAGTTGCCTGAAGCCCACAATTTCTAGGAAGCAGAGCTAAGACTGTATTCATGACACTCTAATCCCAAAGCCTATGATTTACGTACATGCTCCAAGGGCACACTCCCAAATCACTCCCATCCTGCCACAGTCCAACCCAGTGACCTTTGGGTCTCCCAGATTGGATCCGAAAGTTTACCAACAGATCAGAGTACTTCATGCTCATGTCCAGCTGAGAGAGAACATAGTGAACATCTGTGCAGTTGTTGATGGGCCAGCCAAGAGCAACTTTTCACAGCGTCAACCTCAACAGTTGTGCTTCCAGTGAGCTCCAGAATGGCTCATCCCCAATAGGGCCCCTCTTCACAACAGCACAATACATAACTTCCTCTGAAAGATTTTTTATCGTTTTTTTTGGGTCCCTCCCCTGGCACTCAAGTGTATTTCCCTGGTCCAATCAGGAAATACATTTCATTCCTCCTTTCCGTCTATCCACATCGAAAATCTGAACCTTGAGCCTTAATGGTATGAGATTTAAATGAGATAAAAATGAAAGCAAACATTTATTGAGGGCTTACCATGTATCAGACTTTAAGTTTTCTACTGGAATTTTCTAATTTTATGCTTGGCAAAACCCATATGCAGAGGCCACTCTTATTATCCTTATTTTATACTTGAGGGATGTTAAGTTTAGAGAGGTATTAACTAAATGTCACCACCCTGGGGAGGCAGTTTGACTCCTGAGCCTCCATGTCTCACTGAGCCTCTCAAGTGAGTAAAGGTTCTCGACCCAGTGCCTTGGACAGGCATGCTCAACCCAGACAAGTCACAAAGATGTTTCTGCAGCCTTGCTCTCTCGTAGGCCACTCCTATGAAGCCAGCATCTTTCTTCCTGGTAAAATAAATTACATCTGGGAGCCCACTTCAAAGCTTTCATTCTTCAAGGACGGAAGAAAGAGGAAAAAGATCTACCAATGTTTGGGCCTCTCTACATACTACCTATTTTAATACGAGGTGGTGTTAAAGTATTTCCAGATGAAAATACTGAGACCCAGAGAGATTAAATGATTTCTCCCACTTTACCTAAAGGTAGATTGAGACTCAAGATACTCATCCCAATTTTTTGTTTGGTGGACATCTTCTATGACCCTGCAGAGATTATCTCTAAATTATTAGGTTATGGGTGTCTAATATACACTATTCTTTTTATGTTTCCTTAAAATTTTTATTTCTCATCCAGGAGTTCAATACTGGAAATGCGGAATCCATCATGAATCAGAAGTCTAGGGTCAGGAGCTGCCATATGTATACCGTGTTTGGTGCTACTATCCAAATAACTAGAATATATAAAAAGAAAAAAAATACTAAATGCTGAAACTGTAATGAGCACAGTTGGATCTTAACAATTGAATCTTTGATTGTTTCCCGGACTCTGTCATTATTATAAAGGTGTCATTTCACGCACTGCCATTTAATCAAACATACATTTACTCCAATGACCCTTGAATGGTATAATGCTAATTTTTATAACTTCACTCAAAATGTAAGCCATTGTATCATAATTATTGTTCAGTGTGTAAAACCCTACAATTTTCAAGGCCTATTATATCTATCTGCCATCAACATTTTTGTACATATCAGTCTGAGAATGCACTCCTGTTCTTTAGTATTATCTCCTTGTCATTATTTCATCTTTTGTTTCCCAATTTTAAGTGAGAAGGTTGATAGTTACAACCAGATTGTTATTCCAGGGGGAGATAACACAGCTCCGGCTTTATTTTGTGCCATTCTTTTCTATAACTTGATTTCATAATCTAAGAAAACATGTTTACAATAGAGAAGAAACTAGTAGTTTCAATAAATCATTGGGTCAAGGGTGACCTTCTCATGTTGATGCGATCAGGGAATGATGGTTGCTTCCCAAATTTTCCTCATATTTGCTAAAGAACACATAATAATATGATTACATATTTTCCTATATATATATATAATTATATGCATATATATGTGATTCATTTAAGGATTACTTCTGTTGCTCTCTAATTTTTGGAAAAAAATACAAACATAATGTTGATTTCCCTGGTGGAAATTTTTCCCAGAAGGACACAATATGGTATGAAATATTCACTAACAGCAGGTAATGTACAAAGCCATTTCTACTGAAAAATATACCATCTGGAAAATAAAAAAAATTTGTGCAAATGCATGTCAGTATGATTGTGTTATCCCCGGTGAATGGTGAGGGTAATTGCATCATAGAAGCAGTTTTTTAGTAGGAAATGAAAGAGCCTTTGGAGAGAACTCTTATGGCTAGTCTTCGGTTAAATTTGCTGGCCACTGCTTCGCGCAGAGAGACTGAACCAAGACCATGCTCCTGTTTCTATGTGATGAATACAATGCAGGAAGAGGGATGGTGGGAGACTTGAGTCTTCATATGACTGAGGAAAGTTATCCTTAAGTAAACCCACGATGAGCCGACTCACAGCCCTCTTGTTCCCTGTACCTCAGTGTCCTGATCATTCCTCATATACTCACACCACTGGCCTTTGCATGTATTGTTCCCTCTGCCTGGAACACTGCCAACTCCCTGTCCTCAGTCTCTCAATCTTAAACCCAACCCCTATGGCGTAGGTAATATGTTTTCAGCCATTAAAGGAGTGGTCGAGAGTCCCACATTGAATTCTACTTGTGTAGCACCATGAATATTTGCTGCCTAGCACTTATCATAGTTCTAATTGTGCTGCCCTGCTAGATTGTAAGTTCCCTATGTGCCTACCACAATGCCTACCACTTAGACAGGACCCATGAATAGTTTCTGAATGAATTAATGACTTGGCTTTAGCGTAGCGATGAGTGTGGCCTTGGACCACCCTCCTGAGGTTCACCACTAGTTTCGCCGAGCAGCCGTGGCTGGGTTGGTGAGACGGCATGCTTTGCTGGCTGCCTTCAAGCACGGTCGGTGACCGTGGAACAGAGATTTCATCTGTATGAAACTCTCTGGGCTGTGTGGGGATCAAAGTCTGAGGGGTTAGAACAACTGATTCCTTAATCAACAGAGTCAGAATGACTTCAAAGAGATTCCTTCATGGGAAAGATTGGGCAAGAGTGCAGAGGAAGGTCAAAGCCTGGATGGAGGAGACGCTAAATCTTCTGTTCTGATTTTATGAAGCTCTGTTTCTACCACATTGCAAATGTTTC